TGGTTCTTACAGATAATAGTATAGTACATGAATTGCCTTAAACATGTAGTCAGACATAACAAAAACTAGTAAACTAGATAGCTTGAAATCCATGACTAATCCGTCATCTGATTTGCTTGATTACTGATTCCCTGAGAATACATGTAGTTTGAGGGTCAACACAAGGTTGGTGAGAGTCCCAGGCTTTAAAGGTTATCTCTAAAACATCCTATGGTTGGTTTTATTTCATTCTAACCTCTATAAATGAATCCATGATGGTTCGTTTTTGTTATGAATTAAAAATAAACTTGTTATTTTTAAAGTCTTCCGTTGCCGGTTTTTGTGAAAAACAAACTTTTATTTCGTATCAAAACCCAACAACGTCATCATTGATCGACCTCCTTTTGAGATGCTCTACGGGAGAAAGTGTAAGACCCCAATATGCTGGGGGTGAGGTCGGTCAGCGTGTCATAGGGAGTACCGAGGTTGTACTCAAGATGACAAAATTGATTCAACAGGATCACAACAGACTTCAGACAACTCAGAGCCCTCATAAAAGTTACGAAGATAGATGTCGGTCAGACTTGGAGTTCCAGGTTGGGGATATGGTGTTCCTGAAGGTGTCACCTTGGAAAGGTGTCATCCGATTCAGGAAGCGGGGCAAGCTGGGCCCCATGTATATTGGTCCTTTCATGGTGTTATCCCGGGTGGGCACGGTTGCGTATCGTTTGGATCTGCCAGCGGAACTTAGTCAGATTCATAGGAATTTTCATGTCTCTCAGCTGCGGAAGTGTTTGGTTGATGATTCCGCACTGGTTCAGTTTGAGGACATTCAGGTGGATGATCACTTGAATTATATTGAGAGACCGGTGGCGATCCCTGACAGGAGGACGAAGCCTTTGCGAAATAAGGTTGTGGATCTCGTGGAGGTGCAGTGGAAACACCAAAAGGGTTCAGAATGGACGTGGGATCCAGAGGACGAGATGAAAGAGCGTTACCCCGAGTTGTTTGAGATGGCGGACTTCGAGGACAAAGTCTAATTCAAGTGGGGGAGAGTTGTAACGCCCTGATCTTGAGCTAAAGGAGGAAGAAGGAAGAAGAAAGAAGCAAAGATCAAGCAAGAAAGTCTCTATTCTTCCCCTAGCACTCTTTTGGACCTTTGTAAGTGTTTAAGACTCGATTTTTATCATGCTAGGTTGCTAGATCTTGAGTTTTGTCCCATTAACTTCTTGTTCTTGTTTGTTGAGATGATGAGATCTCATAAAATTTGCAACTTTATGAATCTCTAGGTCATTTGGAGTATTTTGTGCCATGGATCAGGAGTTTGGTTGGGTTTTTGGTCCATGCTTGAGAATAGGTCATAAGACCCTCATTTTGACCTAATATGGGTTCAAGACATGCATTGGACATGCATGTCTATAAAGCACCAACTTTTAAGTTAGTTTTGGTGCTAGAATCACTTCTGGAAAAGGATGGATTTCAGACCTTATGGAATAAGTGCTTATTGGTTAAGTTCTTGCATTATTAAGCCTTTTTGGGACCTTTGGATGGTCCTAATGGATCAAGTTAGAAACTTTATCCTTCAAGATCACATTTTGGACCAGATCTGAGTCTTAGGATTCTTGGAATCGAAGAAAACAGCTTAATGCATTAAGTTGTTGGAACCTCGGCAAACACGACGTGGTCCTAGGTCACCAAGGCATGACGGCTGGGATTTTCCCGCCTATTTGGTCGTACGTGAACCACGTCGTGGTGGTCGGCTGGTGTCAGCATCGGCTGTTGACTTTGACCGATGACCTTGGGAGTTGACTTTTGACTTGTGGTTGTTGTTCAGTTGTTAATGTCTTGGTAGAAAGATTAAGGTCTCGCCTTGTGTGATTATCTAGGTGGCACCTAGCACCTGTTGTGGGATTTTGAGAGCGTATTGACTTTTGAGATGCTTTACGAGGTGAGTTTCCTCCACGGTACTCGTTGGTCGAAGACACCAATCACGGCCCACTAGATTATTTTAGTAGGATAATAGTTATCTTCGTGACAATTTCATGTCATGTCTATTTATGCATGTTGTCTTCGTGACTTTCGCTGATATGATTGTATTCTTAGATGAAGGGGGTGAAATAGACCTAGTACCAGTTGAAAGATACCGAAGGAGGTGAAATAGACCCAGTATCGGTTGAAAGATACCGAAGGGGGGTGAAATAGACCCAGTACCGGTTGAAAGATACCAAAGAGGGTGAAATAGACCCAAATATGTTTTGACTGTTATGTATGTATGGTATAGGGTATTTTGGGGGACCTCACTAAACTTTATGCTTATAGTTTTTAGTTTATGTTTCAGGTACTTCCAGCTCGAAAGGGTAGGGCCCGGCTTGATCGCACCGCATCCGCCAATGTTTTCCTCATTATGTGATTTTGGGATTTATACTATGATATTATTTCACTATGATACACTTTTGGTTGTTTTGGACATGATTATTGGATGTTTTGAAATGAATTTAAAATGAAATTTTTGGGATGTTACACTAAAAATCGAAAATCCCTTTATCTCTCCCTTTCGATTTCACCACAACCTCTAGTTGTCGTCGTCCCTGCTGTATGTTTTGATTTTCCGATGGTAGTGGTGGTGGATCACCTCCTCTAGTTATCACCGTCGCCTTTGTGTTCGTTGTAAACCCTAGTCGTTGCCTCCATCTATGCTTTGTCTTTTGATTTTCAGAGGGTGCGATGGTGGTGGCAATTTTCAGGTTTGTGTGTGTTTTTATGGTAATGCTTGTAGTGGTAAATGGTGGTGGTTGCTTCCAGTGGTAAACATTAGGGTATATTGTGGTGGTGGTGATCTAATGTAGGCAAGGATGACCTGTTGTAGAAGGGAAAAAATGAACAAATCTTCCCAAATATTAGGCATTAACGTACCAAAAATCATTACAATGACAAAACCGATAAAACTTGAAAAACTTAATGATTTTTATGTCAATAACCCTAATATAAATTAATGCCACATGATTCATTTTGACCCGTAAAACTAAGATTAGCAGTGATATTACCATATTATTAACATGTCAAACAAGTTTACTGGTAAAACATATACGAAAATAAAATAATTATCTAAATAGAGACAAAAACCAAAGTTCGTTACTCATTTAGCTAATTAACCATTTTTTAAACCGCATAGATTTTATAGACCCTAAATTGCCATCCTTCTTTTGTATTTCACAAATTGTGATGTGAGTTCATTAAATATTTTTAAATATTATTTTATCGAACAATATTTAAGGATTTTTTTTATAAGTTTTGTATGGATAACAATATAGCATGACTAAGAAATGATGGTATATGTTTTTAGTAAGCATTGTATATGTCAAACAAGTTTACTGGTAAAACATATACGAAAATAAAATAATTATCTAAATATAGACAAAAACCAAAGTTCGTTACTCATTTAGCTAATTAACCATTTTTTTAAACCACATAGATTTTATAGACCCTAAATTGCCATCCTTCTTTTGTATTTCACAAATTGTGATGTGAGTTCATTAAATATTTTTAAACATTATTTTATCGAACAAGGAATTTTTTATAAGTTTTGTATGGATAAAAATATAGCATGACTAATAAATGATGGTATATGTCTTTAGTAAGCATTGTATATATACAAAAAATGTTTTTTTCTTTTTATCTGAACAGTGTCTACATGTTAATAAATGACAAATTTATCTTTTTTATTTAAAGGGCTTTTGACTTAAAAGTCCCTAAGTTTTCCAAATTTGTTTGGTTTAGTCGCCACGACGAATTTTGGTGCGCCAATGCTCAACATTTGGGCTCTTTTTGTCAAAAACACCATTTAGCAGGTTTGGAGCGGGTCATCCGATGACATCCAACTTGTTAAAGAAATACCCTCATAAAAAAGGGAATCCCAACGACTTTCGTCCCCCCCTCCCTCATTTATGTAGCCCTTCTCCCGCATATACGTAGCTCTAATCAGAGCATCTTCACGCACCAATGACTACATCGTCTTCAAACTCAGCAACTTCACGCAAAACAAAACTTGTTAAATGCTATTGTGGTGTTGTGTGCTACGTAGTAGTGTCAAGAACACCAGATAACCCTGGTAGAAAATTTTGGGGATGCCCTAATTTCAAGGTATTTTGTAATTTTTGTGTTAAATTGAATTGATTACTATTAGCAGGGTTTTAGGTTTTTGATTACACGTTTTTCTCCCTTTTAATTTGTAGGAGTCTTCAAGGTGTCGTTTTTTCAAGTGGGTGGATGAATGTGGGAACAAAATCTAACCAACAAGAAGATGAATTGATGGGTTTGATGAAGATTGTTGCAGGGTTGTTAATGTTTATTGCAATAATGCTTGTAATTGTTGTCCTAAAAATGTAATTCATGTATTATACTTTTGCAATGTGGTTGGTAATGTAATGCAATTGTGTTTTGAACTGGAATCACTGTAATTTAGGCAATGATAATGTAATGGTAATCCTTTTTGTAGTCTTTCTAATTTGGTATGTGCAAAGTTGTAAATGGTAACCCAATTTAGGCATTGAATAATATGCACTGAATAATATCAATAGAGGGAAGTTTAGGCATTGAATAATGTCATGACATAGGGAAATTTAGATGATATAATTCATACAAAATTAAGATGTTTTAATCCATACCAAAGTATGATGCTATAAAGCATAAAAAACCAAATGTCAGATGTTCTAATCCACACCTAAGATGCAATTAACCAAACCTAGTGTAAGATGCTATAATCGAATAATAGTACCATAAACCATATTTCATAGAAAAGGGTGTGCATTACATAATGTTTCATATAATGTTTCATGTAGCAATCATCCAATTGTGCCAAAAAATCCTATCAAACAAGCCTATCAAGGCAACATATAAGGCAACACATATGATAATTGGATGTTTGCTGCAAAAACCAGGAATAACAAAAGATATACAAAAAGAAGGCATCATATGCCAGTGATTAACATCCCACTTAACCCCTTTTCATAATCACTACCCAACTAATCCAACTTGACAGGTTTGGTAGCACTGGAACCACTACCATCTTTGTCATACACAGTCTTCTTCAACTTTAGCTTCAATATCCTCTCAGAAGGTTTCCTTTTCCTATGCACAGGTTTGGTAGACAGGTTTGGCAAGTTATTGACTCTATCATCCACTCCCTCAACAACAGCTTCAATCCCTGCTTCCACTTGTACCTCATCCACTACATGGTTATCAGCTGCAACCACTCCTTCATCATCACATTCACTCCATGCTTCCTCCCCTGCATCAACTCCTCCATCATCAACAAACACATCAACATCATCTGGATGACCTTCTTGATCTTGTAATTCCTGTTAAGGCAATATATGACATGTAATTACAATATGGGATAAATAGAATAAAATTGAATTTAAGTAGAATAAATAGGAGATTAATTACCAGTTCAACAGGTGCCATGTCATCTAATGGCATTGTGTGACAACCCGAAATATTAGGATCAAGCAGGGTCTAAATTGTAACCCTATCACAATGAGAACCTTGAAAATCATGAGAGCATAAGTGCATGTATAAGGAAGTATACACTTTGAAAGTCACATATAAGGTAACCTCTTGGAAAAGTAAACAAGTTAAGCAAGACACAGTGGTACAAATAAATTGGGATTCAATTTACAATGCAATCAAACAAGGATCACATGGTGTAGACACAAGAACGTGTAATTGTGTCACAATCTTGAGCAATTAAATTATAAGGACAATATAATTGTATTTGCTATTGATTAATACCATAAAAACCTTCCTAGGACCCATCTAAGACCATGAACTACCCCAAGAACCAAAGCTAGGCCGTAAACACTTAGATATTTTAAGTGTTTACGGATTATGAGCTGTATTTGGCCATTTTTCCATGCAATCTCGAATCTTTATAAATTATCCAACAGTCCTCCAAGCAAGCATCAAATCAACCCCACACTCTTTGTAACGCCCCGATTCTCAGGTATTAATATTGTGGCTTTAATGTTTAAGTTTCAAGGTCTACTCGATGAGTTGGCTGCCTTGACTCGTCGAGTAGTAGCGGGTTTGGGACACGTGTTTAAGTGACCAACTCGCCGAGTCGGAAGAGTGACTCGACGAGTTGGAGCTGGAGGGTGAAACCCTAATTTCCGGGGTTTTGCACTCTATTTAAAGAATCATAAGCCTCCTTCAGCCTCTTTACAGTCCCTTGAGAGCTCAACAAAACCCTAATATGTGTGTGTGTGCTCCATTGTGTGTTTTAAGCTTTGGAAGAGGATTCTTGGGGAGAAGAGCTTGGGGAAAACAAGTGGATTGAAGCAAGGAACTCGTGGGAATCAAGATCTACTTCATTTGGCATCTTTTGGGAAGGTATTAAGCTGTTATCTTAACCCCCCATTTCATTCTAGACCTCTTTTGGGTGAATTTTAGGGCTTGTCTAGTATAATAAGAAGCCATTCACGGGTATAAGCTAAGATCTGAAGTTGTAACTTCAGATCTGGACCTTCCTTAGACTCTAAGTCCATAAAATTTCATCTTTGGAAAGCATGAACCTTCCCTCTAGTGTGAGACTTCTTTGAAAGTTTGGTTTTTGTCATTTTAAGGCTTTAGAGCTTTGCATGCGTGTAAAGTTTGCAACTTTACGTGATAAACATGCCTTAGAAGCTTGGATCTGTAATCTGGAACCTTGGCATGGCTTAAAAAATGTCTGCATGAATGAAGGTCTGCAAGGACTCGGCGAGTTACATAGTCAACTCGGCCAGTCATATGAAGATGGTCGTGAACTCGTCGAGTTGATGAACAAACTCGGCGAGTCCGTTGAAGATTGCCTTGAACTCAGCGAGTCGTTCGAAGACTCGGCAAGTCGGCTAGGGTTTCTACCAATTCTTGGACACGTATGAACTCGGCGAGTTAAAGGGGAACTCGACGAGCCAATCAAGGATTTCACAACTTCTCGAGTTCAGGAAGGACTCGGCGAGTCGGTGAGCTGCACTCGACGAGTCGAGTCAACATGGACTGTTGACTTTGACTGTGGACTTTGAATTTAACCAAGAGTTGACCAGATGACTTCTTAGAGTATTCTGGTAATTTGGAGATTTACGAAAAAGGGTTTTATGGTAACGATAGGTGGTGGAGTTCGTGTTGGTGATCCGGGAGTTGAGCTTTCTAGTTTAAGACGACAGTTGCAAGGTGAGTTATCCTCACTATACTAAGGGGTCTAAGGCACCAAGGCCGGCCCATTGGATGTGTTATCCTAGCACTATTGGATGTTGAGTATGAGTCAGTGTTGCATGTTAGTGGTTATTCCAGTTAGGTGGATCTGTAGGACTACCTATGATGTTATATGATTATTGCATGCTCAGTAGTTATGTTATGTGTTACATGTTATGTGGGATGGGTTGAGGTTGTACTACTCCGTGCGGTAGCCAACAAACCCTAGAGTATTCCAGATATGAGCTGAGGGCCCGGTAGGCATTCCAGACTCATACTGAGGACTCGAGAGCATTCCAAATATGAGCTGAGGGCCCGATAGGCATTCCAGACTTGTACTGAGGGCTCGGTGGCATTCCAGATACGAGCTGAGGGCCCGGTAGGCATTCCAGACTCGTACTGAGGGCCCAGGGGTAATCCAGCTCGTAAAGCTGTGGACCCATTGTATGCTGTTTCAGTTTGTTATGATATGTTATTACTGATATGGTTATGTGGACAGTATGTGTATCAGTATTTTGGGGGTAACTCACTAAGCTTTCGGGCTTACAGTTTCAGTTTAATGTTTCAGGTACATCAGGGGATCGCGGCAAGGCGAAGGCATGATCGTACAGCTCCTCATATTATGTTCATGTTTCTGGGAATACTCTGATAAATAATATTTTGAAAACAAAGTTGTAATGTTTTGATGAACTTGACATGTTTTAAAAGTTTAAATTGGTTTGAAATTTTTGGGTGTTACAAGTTGGTATCAGAGCCTTGGTTTGAGTGAATTGAAGGAACACTCGTGTAACTCCAGTCTCAAATCAAGGAAAGGATTTTCAAAAGGTTTTCAAAATAAGTAAATGAGGATGCAGGGTGTACGATCAGCCGGAGCCAGTAAGTAGACCCCAAAATACCATACAAGTTATTTGATATTATGTGATATATTAGAACAGCATGCTAGTAATAAGATAGGGATCCTCAGGAATCGTATGATATAATTTTCTGATCTTTGATGCCTTATCTTATGTAGAGTACCTCATTGATTGTTTGTGACTCTTTCGCGTGTGAACTAACTATTGGGTGAATACTCTAAGTCACATGCTACATGGGTTTAGGGGTCTTAGGGTAAGGGATTTGATCCTGCTGCGTAGCTCTTGTCTGAGTCCAACCGTTGTGGGATTAAATCTTTTAGTCTAAGATTGTTTAAGCCGTGCGGTATGTGATTGTATTCATGCAATAGTTAACTGGCACCAATGGAGGGTCGTGTGGCAGTTCATGGATGGGTAAGTTGTAGGGGACCGATAGGTCAGTTGTGAGATGGTTAGCCTTCCTCTAGGAGTGAGGATTGAGTGTTCTCTATGATATGTATGTTGTTATGGTGTTGTGGTGATACTTGAGACAAATATGGGTAGGTGTGGAAGGTAGTATGGGCCCGTACTACTGAAAACACAGGACCCATACGCGTAGCAAGGAAGTCACAACCCCTAGGGATTAGTTGGGAGTAGGTTCCCCGTCGTGTATGCGGATTATCTGATATCTTCCTGGTATATGTTCAGTATGGTGATGGCGAATCGATTTGAGGCGGGATCCGGATCAGGATCGGGAGCGAGTGGCCAGGGTAGGCCGGTATTGTCCGTCAATCAGATACGGGAGATGATTTCCGTGGAGGTTTCTCAAATTTTGCGAGAAGAATTGTTCGGTGTCGTGGACCGGGTCACCGTCAGGGTGATCGCCAAGTTCGAGGAGCAAGTTGCAGCGTTGCAATCTGTGAGAGATGTTGCTACCGGGATGGCTACTGGGGGAGTGCCAGTGGTGGGGTCACAACTAGGAAAGAGGAGGAGGGACTCTTCAGCAGAGGACGAAGAGTTGGAGGCAGCTAACCTAAGTACTGGAAGTCAGGAGGGTCAGGAGGTGTGTGGCAAGTGTGGGGGAACCCACAGATTTGCTTGTCACAAATTCAGGTGCTATAAGTGCGGGGAGAAAGGGCATGTGCAACGGGATTGCAAGAAGGATCAGATATGTTTTCACTGTCACCAGCCAGGTCATTTCAGATCCAGCTGTCATGCGATGAGGACGGAAGGAATTCAGATTCCAGCGGTCATCATTCCTCAGGAGGTCAAGGTCGAGCCGCAAGAAGTCTCTGGTATGTAATTGGAAAACTCTATTCTGTAATAATATTGTGGTCAATCGTCCGTGATTGGTATTTATTTTGTCTTGGAATATTGTTGAATATGGATAAGCAGTAATTTCGGGTTAGTTGCCTGTCCTGTCTGATCTATGTGTTGTGGAGTTTCATGAGTTGATAGGACATTGGAGGTGTCAGGAGAAATTTATTATCAAAGGATTGTAGGTGAATAGAGTTCAGGGATTCATTAGAAGAGGCGGTAAAATGTGGGAGGTCTGCGGTTAGGGTCCCACAGAAGGATTATTCAGCATTGTCAGGGATCAGTGGTTTTGGCAGCCGTTCGTGATTGACGGGCGAAAGCACCAAGGGAAGTAGCTCGTCGCCAAGGTATTAGTTGGAGTATCTATCTTTTGGTCTTCAGGACTTGGGTGTGGGGTCATTCAAATATTTGTGACTGTCGGTTTCACTGGGATTCAGGAAGTGTTCATCTGGTTCTTAAGGTGTGTGGTCAATCGGGATTGGCTAGTAATGGAGCGCTAGTTAGAAGAGTAGGTTGTTATCGGATCGATCGTTGGACAGTGAGAAGGATTGGGAATTCTCCAATTTTCATGTATTGTGAAGACTTAGTCGAATCTAAGTGGGGGAGAATCGCCCCGGGATACAGAAGCACGAGCGGTGTCGAAAATGGGTTAAGTTATGTATCGTGGTCAGAAAGAAAGGCGGCCCAAGTGGCTGTTTGGTTTGAGGGTTGTGTGAGTTGAGAGTTCGGTAAACTTCCCAGCATGTGTATCGCGTCTTCTCGGTGCTTGATAGCAGAATTTGGGGAATCAGTTTGGGGCTCCAGTCATGAATTGAGTTCAGTTCGGATGTTCAGTCGGATGTGTGATAGATTGAGGGTAAGGTATCAGACTGCGTTGTGTTAGAACGAAAGTGTTGTAAGACTGCGGGGGGAGGGGGTGGCCGTAGCATTCACTAGCGGTTAGATGGTGTGGGAAGTGTTGTGAGGCTGCGAGATGATTTGTAGTATTCACGGATTCTTACAGACAATCAGGTCAGGGTGGGCCTGTTTGCAAGATTGTGGGTAGACCATAGCATAATCAGAATCAGGAAAACGGTAGGTCGTTGGAGACCGGACATGATGTAA